TTTTTACAAAGAAATACCTCTAAAGGTAGAGAATTAATCTTTAGCCCCCTCAGCAAAGTTTGAGAACATGGTCCAGAGGAACAAGTTTTTCATTTTTAAAATTAAATATGATTATTGGACTCTACATTGTGTTATATTCAAGTTTCTCTTGCCATTCCCGCTCCCTTAAGTAAAGTTAACATTGCAGAAGTAAAATTGCCATTTTAGGAGGATGGATAAAATTGACATTATTATGTGGCTCTTCTTAACCAGGCACAGCATCCAAAACAAATGCCTAAGTTTGTGAAGTAAGGGACTAAGGAGTTAAATTTGAACTCTCAAATATTTTTATAAGTTTTAGAACATACAAGGTTTCTCACCTAATGTGCCTTTTTAAAATACTTTGACAAGATGTATAGTTACATGAAAAAGGAACCATTTTTACTATTAAAATCCTATTTTCTGATTAACTTATGTATTATTCTTTCTATTCATTTTTTGTTGTATGAAATAGAAATAAGTCGGCAGAGCCTTTGAGTTACAACGTGTTATTCCAATTGACTGATTATTATGAATGTCATTTAGATCAAGAAGAAAAAACCTGTAATATGGGTACTATTATATTGAAAGGTAATCTTTAGGCCAGCCTCCTCTCTCCCACCTTGTCTTGTTATAGTGATGATTGGGGTATTTGTTCAAGATGATGTGTAACTTGATAGTTTACTCCCAAACTTAATTATGGTAAATTGTCTTCCAGTTTGGGAAGGTTACTGCTTTGTGGAATGTCATATTACCAACGGTTTTGTGTTAGCCAAAAGCATGTAGTAAGTTTGAATACTAGCACTTTGCCTCTTAAATTTTGAGTGTCTACTCTTTCTCGTAGGCTATAGAAAAGCATCTTATTAAGAAGTCCCGTGGAGGTCTTACCTTTATTGGAGAATGGAAGAATGGGCACTTAGAAAAGAAGATGGGGCATTTGGCCTGCTTTGCTGGGGGAATGTTTGTCCTGGGAGCAGATGGTTCCAGAATGGATAAAGCTGGACATTATTTAGAGCTCGGAGCGGAAATTGCACGTACATGTCATGAGTCATATGACAGAACTGGTAAGAATATTAATAATGTTAATTAGTTAGTCTAAAATAATTTCTAAAAAGTTAAAAATATATCCAGGAATTAGAAGAGAAATATATAGGCATTTTTCACTTCAAAATAATTTAATAAAGTAAATCATCTTCTCAAGAACTTGAGTTTTAATTCTGAAAATGTGTTCCTGCATCTTTTTTAAAATTATTATTCTGAGTTCTGCTGGTTTTGTTAATAAAGATTTTGAAGAAGTTGTTTTAAAGACGATAGGTAGGACTTTTAGGAATACATGGGATAACATAATTTATTTTAATATGGAAGAATCCATTTTAGCCATTTATTTCAGCTTCTTAAAATCAGTTACAGAATTGATTTAGGTTACATGCCTTGCCTCTCCTCTTGTGAGAATAAGGATAACCAAAAGATACCAGTTAAATTGAATGTATAATTGGTAACTAGATAACTAGTAGTTTGTCAGTAAATTCACCAATAATTTTTAAGTTGTTTGTACCTTTAAAAAGACCCTTTGATGATGCCTATCTTGGAGGACTTGTATGAATTTTATTTTCCCATGATTTTACAAACTAATCTGTGCCTTTGAATTATCTTTTATTGGCGTACAGTTGACTTTTATTACATCTGATGTTTTACTTTAATTTTTTTTAATTTGTGCATGTCTCTTTCCTTTACCTACAGTATATGATTTTTGCATCTTCTCAAGTTCTTTTTGCCTGGGCACTAAGTTATTTATGGTTTTGACCCAATTTTTACTTGTTAGATTAGTTATTTTCCTTTTAGAAATGATATAGCAAGTATAAATGGGAAATTTAAGATAGAGAATAGAAATTAAGTGCAAGGTAGAATGTTATGAAATTATTTTTTTACAACATTTCTTAAACAAAAGAACACCTAAGAAATAATGCCCTCA